AAAAAAAAAAAAAGACATCCCACAGCACCTCCCCTTTTCTGTCTAATCAAAAATGAAGGTTTTAACTTTAACATAGTAAAATTACATATAACAAAAACAGTTATCAAGCAAGAACTACAGTTACAATATCTAGTCTATTTATATTTGGCAAAATTAGAAAATATTTTACCATTTATCCTATTTTTGTGAGTCTAAAGTTTTATATCTATTTTTTTTTGAGACAGAGTTTCTCTGTGTAGCTTTGGAGACTTTCCTGTAACTCATTCTGTAGCCCAGGCTGGCCTCAAACTCACAGAGATCTGCCTGCCTTTGCCTCCCAAGTGCTGGGATTAAAGGCATGCATCACCACTGCCCAGCTTATATCTAATTTATCTTTTATCATGACTAAGGAAAGCTATAATTAAAACTATCTAGTCTTCAACTCCATCAAAGACTCCAGAAGGATATAGTATTACCTAAGTGAACAGGAAGTGCATTGTAAGCAACTTCCAAAATTCTAGACATGATAGAGACATCTGACTGCCTGGACAGTCATCCAAAGTTCCCCTGTAATGTTGGGGCATCCATCTTCAGCCTACAGGCCTGGAGTCTCTGGAAGACTTTTTAGTGAGGTAGGAAATTTGAAGAATTGTCTCGCCTATTGACAAAGTCATCAGTTGTTTCTCCCTGTGTCCTGCAGAATGTCTGGCAGTCTCCTCTGTGAAGCAGGAACCGTAAGGACCATCTCGCCCTGTTTTGGCAAAGTTCATTGGTCATTTTCCCATGGGTCCTGCATGTCCATTTTATACAACATACTGTCAGGCAGTTCAGGCAAGAGCAATTTCTTGCCCAAATGGCTAACTTTTGTCTTAAAGAAAGCAAACTCAATATGGAGTTTCTTCAATGCCCATCGTCTTCTCTGAAGTAGATTGGTGCTGCCAGGAACAGACATGCCTCAAATGTCCAGAGAAGTCAAAGTTCTTAAAATATTTTAAATATCATATTTTTTAGGTCTTTGAAGTATTTGAAGATTATCCACCTAATTGAAATATATCTATGTATACCTAGAAAACTTAACTAACATGACTATAAGTTTGATTATTATAAATGATGAATTATTAATCTGTATTTCTTAATTATACATTACAATTTTAAATGGGTTGTATAAACATAATACCTTAAACAAGAGTAGAAAGATATATACACAGTATAACAAAATTAACTTTAAATTTGTATCAATAAACTAAAATCCCAATCCAGCAGTCACACAGATGGCCCTCTTTAAATGAAATGGGCCACACACCAAAACCCCAAAGTCACAAATCTGAGAAAGTGTCAGGGGTTGGGGAGGGATGGGAAGGAGGTGAGGGTGAGAGAGGGGGCAACCAGAATGCACCATACACATGCACAAAAGTGTCAAACAACTTAACTAATAAAACACATTAAACGCATGGTTTGCGCCACTGTCCGGCTGCTGTTCACTCCAACAGAACCGTGGACAATGTTTAAACACACTTTGGCTTTTGTGGTCTCCTGCTCTCAGTCACTAGCTTCTTAGGTTCTAGAACTTTCTTTTGTCTTGCTCCTCACCATTAGCATCAAAAAGTTCATCTCAGGCCAGAGCACTGTGACCTCTGAAACTGTAAGCCACCTTATTAAATGTTTTCCTTTATAAGAGTTGCCGTGGTCATGGTGTCTCTTTATAGCAATAGAAACCCTAAGACAGAAGTATTGACTTATGGGTATAATGATAAGTCATTAGAAGTAGTTTTTTAGCATAATAATAGTAGTAGGTTTTTCCCTGTGGCCCATGACCTGTCCAGCAATAGGTCTGTGGCCTTAATGATGGTTCTTGGCACAGGTTCTGTCTTGTGGAGTGGGCCTCTAATCAGAAAGTGGTTGGTTACTCCCATCAGATTGACGCCACTATTCTACCAGTTGGCATATCTTGCCAGACTTGTCTTTATTATAGCTGGTGGGATTCACAGCTGAGTAAGATTAATTATTACTTTTGTCCTCCGGTAGTCGGCATAACACATTCTAGCACTATAAAAGCTGGTCAGTAGTGATGAAGCTTCCAGCTGGATTTCTCCACGTCTATGACCTGAGTATGTGGTATCTTAAGCAATAGGGTTTTACCATCAAGTTCTGGAGGGTAAGCAGGAGCAATAGCAACAACCTGTTATGTTTGGGGGTCGTAGGACCCTACTGATCAACAACAGCAAAAGAGGTATCCCATTCTTGGCAATGGGCTTCTTACTCAACAGCCTGTGACATCTAGACAGGGCATTATTTCCTTGTTTTAGGGTAACCCCATTTATACTATTTACATATATGTATATGTGTGTGTGTTTGGAAGGTCATGCAATAAGTAGCTTTCTATATGGCATTTTCAAAGGACTTCAGTGTTAGTCATCCCTGCCCATACTCCATCATCTACTCTGCCCTCTGACTTGACCCATTTAGTCCTTCTTGTTCTATTACTGCCTATTTGTTGGGGAATATTATTTTAAGGTGTGTTACTTTGTTTATGTTGCATTTGTTTAGCTCTGAGAAGCTGTGTTACTGAGCATGTCTAGAACACCTGATGGTCTAATAAAGAGCTGAGCAGCCAATGGCAAGGTAGGAGAAAGGATAGGTGGGCCTGACAGGCAGAGAGAATATACAGAAGGAGAAATCTGGGAGGAGAGGAAGTAGACAGAGAAGGAGGAGGAAATCAGGGGCCAGCCACCCAGCTACATAGCAAGCCACTGAATAAGAGTAAGATTTACAGATATAAGGAAAAGCCCAGAGTCAAAAGGTAGATGGGATAAGTTACAGAAAGCTGGTAAGCAGCCGGGCAGTGGTGGCGCATACCTTTAATCCCAGCACTTGGGAGGAAGAGGCAGGCAGATCTTTGTGAGTTCGAGGCCAGCCTGGTCTACAGAGTGAGTTCCAGGAAAGGTGCAAAGCTACACAGAGAAACCCTATCTCAAAAAACAAAAACAAAAACAAAAAGCTGGTAAACAACAAGCTAAGCTAAGGCCAAGCATTTATAATGAAGAGTAAGCCTCCATGTGTGAGTTATTTGGGAGCCTGGTGGTGGGCCCCCCAAAAGAGTAAAAACAAACAACACCTTTTCTTTATACCATCTGCATTCGATCTCCTCTCCTTTGAAAGTCTGCCCACCTCTTACTGTTTTCCTGACTTCTATGGGCAAACACACACATCTGAAGATTAAAGCTAGCACCTACATATGAGAGACAACATGTGTCTTTATGGGTCTGGGTTACTTTACTCAGAATCATTTCTTTCTTTCTTTCTTTTTTTTGAAACAGGGTATCAAGTAGCCCTGGCTGGCCTCCAACTCACTGTACAGATAAGGGTGTTGAATCTCTGATCCTACCTTCACCTCCCAGAGTGCTGAGGTTGCAGCCATGCACCACTGTGTCCAGTTTTGATGCCTCGTGGATGCAATCCAGGGCCCCTTGCATGCTGGGCGAGTGCTCTGTCGACTGAGCCACATCCCCAGCCCTGATTTTGCTAATCCTTGAAGCTGATGCCTAGCCTAAGTGATGGTGGGGTTTTAATTGTACTCTTTTACTTTTTGAAGATTTATTTACGTTGGTTTTTATGTGTATAAGTGTTTTGCTTGCATATGTATCCGTGGACCACATATGTGTCCTGCTAGAAGAAGCCAGAAGAAGGCATCAGATCCTCCGGGACTGGAGCTATGGACATTTGTGGGCTGCCATTGCAGATATTGGGAGCTGAACCAGGTTCTTTGTAAGAGTAACAAGTTCTCTTTACCATTGAGCCATCTCTCCAACCCCTAATTCTTCTTCATGTAAGTAACTACCGGGGACATTGTTTATTACTAAAAGCACCCTCAGCCCCTCCCCTTCCTATCTTAATCTGGGTGCTGCCTGATGCACCCTTTTAAGGTGCTCAAGTCCATAGTCCAGCCTGGCCATTGCCCCCATCTTTCATTTGCATTGTGTCAACCATAGTCCAGAGTGTCCACTAGGTGGCGAGCTCCTTCCGGCAGCTGAGCCCTGTGTATGGTAGGTGGTGGCACTTCCACAGTGTCATTATGAGAGTGGGTGGACAGGGTGACCAGTGTGAAGCCAGCCTCGTCTATGCTGTCCCTGGTCCATCTCTAGGAATCAGGAAGTGTCCACTGGCTCCGCCTGACATCACTATTCTAAACATAGGTTAACCATGAAAAGCAGGGCGTGGTGATTCCCTGGCCACCATCATCTGATGACGGAGATACTAGCAAGTGACTAGCTGGTGGGTATGCGTACAGCATGGATATGCTGGTCAAGGGGCTGGCTCATGCTCTAGGATGGATAACGGGAGAATATAAGTAAGGCTTATATGTGGGCTTTGCTGCAGGTACAGCTAGTCACCTGCAAACTGCAGCTTGCATTTGGTCACACACTGAAACATAGTCACCTTAAACTCCCTTAAGACCTCATTAATAGAAAAAAAAAACCCTCATTTATCCCGTCACCCCCTTCTCTACCCATTGGTGGCTTGTTCAATGTCTGATTCTCTTTCTTTTTTACAATCACAAGTACTTTATGGAGTGATGAATGTACACCGCCAGCATTCTATGTAGATAAGTCAAATCTTGATAAAAATAGTGAAAACCGATGGATGATGAAGCCTTATAAAATAGAAATGCTTTTGCTTTGACAAAATAGCAGGAAAATAAACCAATAAGTGGCTAAGCTTAACGCATCACAGATTTAAAATACTACAAGGATCGACTCTCTTACAAAGAAAATCTAATGAACCATGTGTGAGTGGTGGCCTGAATTTCATCACAAACCAAAAACGTAGACAAGTTCACAGTCTAGTTTGCCAGTCTGATGTAAAGTCTGGATTTCAGGCAGTGTCTAAGTGCCTCGCAGGAAGAAACCAAGTTCAACACCCACTTGTGTGAGTGACCCTGTCCAAAAGAGTAGGGGCGTGTCTGTACAGTGACCCCACCTCCATTTGCTGATTTCCTTCTAAAAGTCAGTCGGTTTTTAGATGATCCCCAAGGCACCTGCAGATGGAAAGGTGGACGACATCACAGGCTTTCTTTCCACAGTCCAAGTCGCCAGTGAGTCTTCCAGGAGGTTCTGCAGAGAGATAGGTCATCTGTCATTAACACAGAGTCAAGGCTCTGGGGTGGAGTCCCTTGGGAGAGGGAGACTGTTTGGTGCTCAGGTGGATTCATGCTGGTTTCTCTGCCCTGCTCAGGCCCAGGAAGCTTCCTTTCATCCAGCGAAGTATTGGGAGATTCAGGGCACAGTGGGCTGGTCCCTTGGCTACTTGGCCTAGGTCTTGGGAGAGGAGAGGAAAGGAGGCGGGCACTGGCTTAGGGCCATGGAGGAGTCGGCATGGAGCTAGGTGTATCTGAACAGCCAGGCCTGTGCAGCCAAGATGGAATTGACTGTGTAAAGCGCCCAGAGCAGCGCGTCCCTGCCATGTGACAGACCCCAGCATGCGACAGCTGTCATGTGAGCCAGGCATGCTGTGAGAGGGTGGGCTCCGTGCTCCTCGAGGGCACACACAGGAATGCCCCTCTGGGGGCTTGCAGCTCTCTCAGGGCCACCTCCAAGGCACCCACGTGGGTGATGACTCCTGACAGCGGTGAGAGCGCCCTGGATGAGTGGGCTTCTGGAGAATGCTGTCCGGGTCTCTTGGGAGGCTCAGCGAGGGTGTTTCCAGGGCATCTGCGTTTGATAGTCCTCACAGGAGATCTTAGGTGGGGCCTTCTGCCCTCGACATAACGTGTTGTGTGCTGGGACTCTCTTGCCTAGTGCTGTTTTGCTCGGGTAGACTCAGGTATGTCCCTTCCTCTCTCTTTGGCCGGAGGTGGGCTCGCCCTCCTCTTCTCTTCAAGGTGGCCCCTTCCATTGTGGCATCTGCAGGAGGAGCCACCCAAGCAAGCTATGCGGATCTGTCCTTGGTTTCCCAGCTCCCCTGCTGGTGGGCAGAAATGAAAAGTCTGCCTATGGTAGCTCTGTAGTAGAGTTTGAGATTAGGGATGCAGCAGTTCTTTTACTGTACAGGATAATTTTAGCTGTCCTGGGTTTTTTGTTTTTCCATATGAAGTTGACTATTATTCTTTCAAGGTCTGTAAAGAATTGTGTTGGAATTTTGATAGGGATTGCATGGAATCTGTAGATTGCTTTTGGTAAAATGGCCATTTTTATTATGTTAACCCTACAGATCCATGAGCATGGCAGATCTTTCCACCTTCTGATATCTTCTCCAATTTCTTTTTTCAAAGACTTGAAGTTCTTGTCATGCAGGTCTTTCACTCGCTAGGTTAGAGTTACCACAAGATATTTTATATTATTTGTGGCTATTGTGAAGGATATTGTTTCCCTGATTTCTTTCTAAGCTTTTTTTTTTTTTATCATTTGTATATAGGAGGGCTACTGATTTTTTTTGAGTTAATCTTGTATGCAGCTACTTTGCTAAATGTGTTTATCAGCTGTAGGAGTTTCTTAACTGTTATTTCCATTATTTCTCTGTTAAGTTTCTGTCTGGCAGACCTGTCCATTGATGAGAGTGGAGTGTTAAAGTCTCCCCCAATTAATGTGTGGTGTTCAATATGTGAATTTAGCTTTAGTAATGTTTCTTTTACAAATGTGGGTACTCTTATATTTGGGGCATAGATATTCAGAATTGAGACGACATCTTAGTGGATTTTTCCTTTGGTGAATATGAAATATCCTTCTCCATCTCTTTTGATTAATTTTAGTTTGAAGTCTATTTTGTTAGATGTTAGGATAGCTACACCGGCTTGTTTCTTTGGTCCATTTGATTGGAAAACCTTTTTCCAACCTTTTTCTTTCAGGTAACATCTGTCTTTGTTGTTGAGATGTGTTTTCTGATGTAGCAGAAGGATGGATCCTATTTTCATATCCATTCTGTTAGCCTGTGTATTTTAATTGATGAATTGTGTCCATTGATATTGAGAGATATTAATGACCAGTGATTGTTAATTCCTGCTTTTTTGTGTGTGTATTTCCCTCTGGTGTGGGATTATTTATTACCTGTGTTTTTGTGGGGGTAGCTAATTTCCTTGGGTTGGAATTTTCCTCCTAGTACCTTTGTAGATTTGGGTTTGTGGATAGGAATGATTAAATTTGACTTTGTCATGAAATATCTTGTTTTCGCCACCTATGGTGTTTGAAAGTTTTGCTGGGTAGCTAAGACTCTTAGAAATGGTGAAGAGAGTGCCTGAACTAGCCTTCCCCTGTACTCAGATTGGTGACTACCCAAATTGTCATCATAGAACCTATATCCAGTGACTGATGGAAGCAGATGCAGAGACCCACAGCCAAGCACTTAGCCGAGCTCCTGGAGTTCAGTTGAAGAGAGAGGGGAGGGACTAGAGGAGCAAAGGGGGTCAAGATCATGATGGAAAAACCAAAAACAGCTGACCTGAGCTAGTGGGAGCTCGCAGACTCTGTACTGACAGTTGGGGAGCCTGCATGGGACTGAACTAGGCTCTGTCAATGTGGGTGATAGTTGTGTGGCTTGATCTGTTTGTGGGACCCCTGGCAATGGGACCAGGACCTATCCTGGGTACATGAACTGGTGTTTAGAGCCCCTTCCCTGTGGTGGGATGACTTACTCAGGCTTGATGCAATGGGGAGGGGCTTAGTCCTGTCTCAGCTTGGTATGCCAGCTGGTGCTGACTACCCAAGGGAGGCCTTAGCCCTGGGGGGTGGGATAGGGAGGAGGTGGGGGAAGAATGGGACAAGTGGAGGAGGGGGAATAGTGGTTGGTATGTAAAATGAAAAAAATTTAAATAAAAGTTTTGCTGGGTCTAGTAGTCTGGGCTGTCATCCATGGTCTGCAAAATGTCTGTCCAGGGCCTTCTGGCTTATATAGTCTTCATTGAGAAATCAGGTGTAATTCTGGTAGGTCTGCTTTTATATGTTACTTGGCCTTTTTCCTTTGCAACTTTTAATATTCTTTCTTTATTCTGTATGTTTAGTGTTCTGATTATTATGTGGCAAGGGGACTTTTTTTTTTCTGGTCCATCCAATCTATTTGGTTTTCTGTAAGCTTCTTGTACATTTATAGGTATGATCTTCTTTAGGTTGGGACAATTTTCTTCTATGGTTTTGTTGAATATGTTTTGAGCTGGGTTTCTTCCTCTTCTATTCCTGTTATTCTTAGGTTTAGTCTTTTCATAGGGTACCAGATTTTGTGGATGTTTTGTGTTAGAAATTTCTTAGATTTAATGTTTTCTTTAACCAATGAATCTAGTTTCTCTATCATATCTTCAATGCCTGAGGTTCTCTCTTCCATCTCAGGTAGTCTGTTGGTGAGTCTTGCTTCTATAGTTCCTGTTCATTTACTCAGGTTTTCCATTTCCAGAATTCCCTCAGTTGGTGTGTGCATTTTTTAATTGCTTCCATTTCCATTTTCTGGTCTTGAACAGTTTCATTTTTTGTTTTTTCTTCATTTTTCTTTTCATTCTTTAAGAGATTTATTGATTTTCTCCATTTTTTTGGTAGTTTTTCCCTCCATTTCTTCAATGTATTTTTTCATTTTCTCTTTAAGGACCTCTATCATCTTCATAAAGTTATTTTAAAGGTCATTTTCTTGTGTTTCAGCTGTGTTAGAATGTTCAGGTCTTGCTGTCATAGTATAGCTGGGGTTCTGGTGGAGACATATTGAATTTTCTGTTATTGATTGTGTTTTTTTTTTTAATTTTACAACACCATTCAGTTCAACATAATAGCCACAGATTCCCCTGTTCTTTCCCTCTCGCCCTCTCCCCCTCCCCCCAGCCCACCCCCCATTCCCACCTCCTCCAGATCAAGG